TTTAGTCTTTGCAACTTCAGGGATCTTATCTATTCACGAACAGCTTGTAACACTCCAAAGAGAAAGGAAAACTTGAAATCGCATCATATGACCCCTTTAAAGGCTTTTATTGATTTATTATTTTATTCATTTATTAATGAAGCTTTTAGCAATTATTTAAAATGCATCTGATCACTCTACACAATAATCTAGAAACAATGTGAATAAACACCACAACAGCAAACTTTGCAAAACACAAAATTTATGTCACTGCCAAAACTTTTGGCCATGACTGTAGTCTAAAATATAAATATAGAAATGTATTAGAGCATGTAGTTGCTTCCTGACATAAATTAATCGCTTTTTTTTTGTGATGATCCAACTACTAAGCTTATGTCTTTTATTTTTAGATGATTATTTTGTCAACAAAATAACAGTCATTGGCTATGACTCGGCTTTTCAGGGAAAGCCTTAATTTTTACATATCTTTTTGTGAAAAAGTACGTCAATACATTTGGCACTTACAGTATAAGTTATTTTTCTTTCATATTTGAAGTAATTTATTTACTACTTTTAGGGAAAGCTTTATTATAATTTTTTTCTTTTTGAAGGTGTAAGAGTAAGTCAAAATGTTTGATTTGTTTTATATTTGAGGTCATTTTTATATATATATATGTATATGTATATATGTATATACGTGTATATATATGTATATATGTATATTACGTGTATATGTATATATGTATATACGTGTATATGTATATATGTATATACGTGTATATGGTATATGATGTATATATGTATATACGTGTATATATGTATATACGTGTATATGTATATATGTATATACGTGTATATATGTATATACGTGTATATGTATATATGTATATACGTGTATATATGTATATACGTGTATATGTATATATGTATATACGTGTATATGTATATATGTATATACGTGTATATGTATATATGTATATACGTGTATATGTATATATGTATATACGTGTATATGTATATATGTATATACGTGTATATGTATATATGTATATACGTGTATATATGTATATACGTGTATATGTATATATGTATATACGTGTATATATGTATATACGTGTATATGTATATATGTATATACGTGTATATATGTATATACGTGTATATGTATATATGTATATACGTGTATATATGTATATACGTGTATATGTATATATGTATATACGTGTATATATGTATATACGTGTATATGTATATATGTATATACGTGTATATATGTATATACGTGTATATGTATATATGTATATACGTGTATATATGTATATACGTGTATATGTATATATGTATATACGTGTATATATGTATATACGTGTATATGTATATATGTATATACGTGTATATATGTATATACGTGTATATGTATATATGTATATACGTGTATATATGTATATACGTGTATATGTATATATGTATATACGTGTATATATGTATATACGTGTATATGTATATATGTATATACGTGTATATATGTATATACGTGTATATGTATATATGTATATACGTGTATATATGTATATACGTGTATATGTATATATGTATATACGTGTATATATGTATATACGTGTATATGTATATATGTATATACGTGTATATATGTATATACGTGTATATGTATATATGTATATACGTGTATATATGTATATACGTGTATATGTATATATGTATATACGTGTATATACATGTATATGTATATACGTGTATATACATGTATATGTATATATGTATATACGTGTATATGTATATATGTATATACGTGTATATATATGTATATGTATATACGTGTATATATATGTATATGTATATATGTATATACGTGTATATATATGTATATGTATATATGTATATACGTGTATATGTATATATGTATATACGTGTATATGTATATATGTATATACGTGTATATGTATATATGTATATACGTGTATATGTATATATGTATATACGTGTATATGTATATATGTATATACGTGTATATGTATATATGTATATACGTGTATATGTATATATGTATATACGTGTATATGTATATATGTATATACGTGTATATGTATATATGTATATACGTGTATATGTATATATGTATATACGTGTATATGTATATATGTATATACGTGTATATGTATATATGTATATACGTGTATATGTATATATGTATATACGTGTATATGTATATATGTATATACGTGTATATGTATATATGTATATACGTGTATATGTATATATGTATATACGTGTATATGTATATATGTATATACGTGTATATGTATATATGTATATACGTGTATATGTATATATGTATATACGTGTATATGTATATATGTATATACGTGTATATGTATATATGTATATACGTGTATATGTATATATGTATATACGTGTATATGTATATATGTATATACGTGTATATGTATATATGTGTATATGCATTATTTTTCTCTTTAACCTCTTTTTTGAAAGCATAAGTTTATACACTTATAAGTTATGTTAAGAAATTTATACTGAATAAACCCAATTAGTTATTGTAGTTTGGGTAATGTTCAGTTAAAGTCACCTGCTGAACTTTGAAGCCTTGAACCTTCAGGAAGGAATAATCTTTGTTGCAAGTATTTGAAGAGATAACTGTAAGCCGCATGATATGAATAACACTCTCTTTGTTCATTTTCAGTGGACAAACTACATTCATGGATGGCAGGACCGCTGGATTGTGCTGAAGGGCAATATTCTCAGTTACTACAGGTCAGCAGATGAGAAGGAGTTCGGCTGTAGAGGGTCCATCTGTCTCAGCAAGGCTGTCATCACGGTAAGGCTGATCTGATCTGTAGAGCGTCCTGTCATGTTTATCTGTATGATTATCAGGGGCTTAGCTTGACTACAGTATCTTGACTTCACAGTGGTGTGAAGAGCTGAAATGTACCACAGTGTGAAAATATTTGAGAAGTAATGCTTCCTGCTCAACATGCAGTGTTTATCCGTCTGCTACTGTCAGCGGGGAAGATGTTGTATTTGTTTTGGGGGTTTCTCTTGTTTCAAGGTGGACAAAGCAGAAGATGAGGTTGAGTAGAAAGTACAAGGGTACTCCACTACTTTGAACAGACATATCCTAGTGTCATCCATACTAAACATCCTGCAAAACCACATCTGAATACTTTATGGAATTATCATTATAAATAATGTGGCTTAAAATATTATTATTGATGAACTTTGCAGCATTAACACTGTTAGTTTCCTATTTATTACTGTGAAGCTGGATTAAAACAATCTGCATTAGTGCTGGGCGATTTTACCAAAAATATGTATCACATTTTTTTCTCCCCTAACTATGCCTTTATATTAATCAGAATGTGTGAAACCGTTGCAGAACCACTGTATTTTAATCACGATCTAAAGAAACATGCTAGCATGAGCAGTTTTTGATGTAAATTTGATGCTCTGACCTTAGCTTTGTGATATGATAACATATGTGATTGTGAAGGAGACCGAAACGGCAGACAGGCTGAAAGAGATGCAAATTCACTCTCTTCTGACAGCAGGTGGCGCTATGGAACAGTTGCGATACAGTGTTTCCTTGGTTACCGCTGTAAACAAAGCAGCACTGTGCTTTTAAATGCTACATTAATATTATTAATATTATGCATTATATGGATGTAAGATGAAAAGAAAATACCATCTAAACTTTTCTGAAGACAGTCAGTTCCCCTCAGATACATTCACATAAACCCCTCAGCCCCAGTTCAGTATTTAGGATTTTTTCCCAATATTTCGCGCATGGTGAAGTGAGTTTACTCTGCCTGTTACAGTGTTTTATTTTTGCGTCCGTCTTTCAGGCTTCTGTTAACGGCCGTTTGCAGTTGGTTTATTTGCCCGTTAACTAATTAGTTGTGTTTTATTAATACAGTGGGTACGGAAAGTATTCAGACCCCCTTCAATTTTTCACTCTTTGTTATATTGCAGCCATTTGCTAAAATCATTTAAGTTAATTTTTTTTCCTCATTAATGTACACACAGCACCCCATATTGACAGAAAAACACAGAATTGTTGACATTTTTGCAGATTTATTAAAAAAGAAAAACTGAAATATCAC